GTGAGGGCTCTTCCTCCGTTCTGCTTTGTGCCACCTTGCCCGGTGTCAGTGGCTTTGGCTCTCGCCTCTCCGTAATTTATCCTCTGCATGCCACCCACTTTAACAGCTTTTCCAAAAATTTTGGACATGTTCTGAGAAGCCCCTTCCCAGGGACAAGGGGATTTCTGTGGTTGTTTACTCTGGGGGCACGTCCGGCGGGGGAGTGGAAGAGGCTGGGGGGGGGGCCAGCCACTTCTGCTTTCTGCGGAAGAGCCGCGAGTCTCCGAGGGGCTTCCAGGAGACCTTGAGGGAACTGAAATTTACCCGGGAAAGCAGATTAAAAACAACTTTCTGTGAAGGCAAGTTATCGAGTCTAATGCTTGCCCAGCTCTTTCTAACAGGAGGGAGAACCCAAAATCTCTGAGCAGGAACAGGTCATTGATGGGTTTAGATGGTTTGCCTGAGTCATCAAAGGCAAGTGACTAACAACATCCCTCCAAACTGGCCACCCCAACCACCCTGGCCATACCAAGGGCAGTGGGCTAGGCAGTGAAGCACTCGGATGGGATGGGATGGGATGGGATGGGATGGGATGGGATGGGATATCAAGCAGAAAAAGCCACACTGGACCAAAGTAGGAAGGACCCCAGAGCAGGGGGTGGCAGAAACGCTTTGGGTGGGTTCAGGAGACTTTATAGAAAGGGAAGAAATGGGGCAAAGGCAGTGGGTCGTCTGCAGAGAGTCTGGGTCTGATCCCAAGGACTGCCTCTGCCTCACACACTGGTGATGAGATTGAAATGAGAGGGTCAGAGCGATGGTGGCTGATGGTCATCAGTGCACAGATGGGTCATTTCTGCAGGGTCACGGGACGAACCCTACCACAACCCCAAGAGAGTCATCCCAGCCCCCAGAGAGGACCCCAAGGGCAGGAGGGGCGGGTGACACAACCCCCAGGTGCAGCACTGGTGGACATCAGCCCAGCTTCCATGCAGGCATCTGCCACTTGGGAAGTCGAGCTGCAGCTGTGGTCTGCATGTGAGGAGGGGATGGAGACCTGGTGGGAAGCCATGTGGGATGGTGAGTGGGAGCACAGGAGGGGGCCTGGTTGTGGCTTGGGAATGAAGCAAGCCAGGGCTTTTCAGAGGAGAAGAAAGGTGGAAACGGACTTCCTTGAAGTTTATCTCATGTTTGCATGATTTCTCTGGAAGAAGAAAGGAGAAGGAAACAAATCAAATGTGCTGACAGGTCTGGTTTGGAAGACGTGGTGTACAGGACAGCAGGTCTGGTGGCCTGGCACAGTGGCAGGGTGGCCATGTGGAGAGCTAGGCACGGCACCACTGGTTTCTAAATGCCACTTTCCCCAGGAAAGGGCTCTGCAGGAAGAAAACACCCGACACAGCCCCTGAGCCCTCTTCTACAGTCTCTGCATCCCTCCCTGGCTCTTTCAGCTTCCCCTTTCCAGCTCCTACCATGTCCCCGATGTACAAGCCCTCAACCTGAACAAACCACCAGGGTCACACCACCTCCTAGACTGTGAAGGGCTGCAATTAAGGGGGAATTGACCTTTAGAAATTAAAATGAGTAGGCACAAACAAAAAAAAACCCAAAACAACAACGTAGAGATGGGAAATATTCTCTGACTCATACGGTGTTTTGGTTTTTGAGTGGGTAATCATAGAAATTAATCATTTAACAGGGTATGCTGGTCTTCTGCGTATGATAAATGCCAAAGAAAATGGAAGAGCACAAGGCACTTGCACACTGGGGTTGCTGGTCCCTGACACTGACGCCAGCAAAACCCTCTCTGGAGGAAGCCTTCATCACCATCAACTCTAGTAAAAAAGGCAAAGGCGAAACTATAACAATAACCGACTTTCATAAATTCACTAGAGGCTTCTTGCCATGGCTAGAAATAATAGAATTGGAAAAGGCGGTAGTAAATGCATTGAGGAAAATACTATTACAAACGCTATGGTAGATAGATAGCAAAAACCCCTTACAAGCAGAGGTTAAAGCTGGATCTTAAATAGTGATACAAAACCAGTCAGCATTAGACGAGCTATTAGAGGTCAAAGGAGAGGTTTGTGCTCTCATTAACACCAGTTGTTTCTGTGTAGACCAAGACAGAAGACTAGAAACAGCTGGAATGACCATCCAAAGCCACCTAAAGGATTTTCATAAAATGAAAGAAACACCTCAAGCCTTTTTGGTGGGTGGGGTTGGACACCAAACATTGGCGGATGGTTTGGAAACGTACTTAAAACACTGTCCAAATCTATATGTACAGGGCTAATGGCTAAAATAGTAACCTACGTGTTTGTTCAATTATTTATCGGTTGTGCTGAGATTATGTGTCTAAGCAGCCGTCAATTACTCAGCAAGAGATAAAGCTGATGGCAACGCAAACGCATGGGAGAGAAAAAGAAATCAAAGCAGAAGAAAACCAATTCTTTGATATGCAAGTATAAAGGCTGCCCTGGGGTCTCAAGTGTCCCTGCTGTGTCCATTCCCCGCTTCCACGGATCCTGCTTGGAGGGGATCAGAGGTGGGGTGTCTGTGGGGCTGGGATGTTCCCTGTGGGTCTGGGAACCAGAGGGCTCATGGGCACTGAGGCAGGTGGGGATCTCTGGGGCGCACCAGGAGGTTCTTCAGCTTGAGGAGGCCTTTTAAACTGTTGCCTTTACTGTTCAGGAGCCATGAGACCATGGAGACGGCCTGTCTGCTTGGTCTTGGTGCCTTCTCCTGACAGCAGCTCAGGGCTCGCCCAGGATAGCAGGTCTCAGGTCACCCAAGCCTCCACATAGGACCCAGAACAGCTGTCCCAGCCAGGTGCCCTTCTCTGGTCCTGGGTCCGGACCCTCTGCTGCAGGTTTCTGATTCATGTAATGGCATCACAGTGCTGGCAGTGGCCTCACAGCCCCGGTCCTGTCCCCATCCCCAGCTGACAGCAGCTACAGAGGACTGCACTGGTTGGAGAAGGCAGCTCAAAAGGATGGCCCAAGCCCTTGGCCCCAGCCCCACTGTACTGGATGCCATGGGGCTGGTGCCCCACAGCTGGCTCTTCCTGCTCAGGGACACCAGCTGCCTCTTCTTCTTCAGCCCCAGGTTCCTCCTGCTCCTGGTGGCCTGGGCTGCCCTGCCCTGCTGGCGCAGCACCTCCAACACCTGCCAACAGGTAGGAGGGATGCTGTGGGCCACCCCTTCCCAGGGACCCTGTCAGGGCAAGGTCCTGTGGGGACCTGCTCCTGCTCAGCAGGACAGCCCCTGGCTGGGGAACTGGCAGGGACCCACCTGCACTGTTGGGCAGGGGCTGGTGGGACCCATGTGCACAGTGGGATGGGGCAAGAGGCCTCTCGATGGAGGTCACGGTGATGCTGGTTCTGTGCTGGTCTCTGCCAGGACCTGATGCTGGGGAAGGTGTGTGAAGGACAAAGATGGAGGTGAGGCCCCCCGCTTGGCCCTGGCACAGGCTCCTCCAGCTGATGGGATGCTCCTCCTTGCCCAGCTCTGTGCTCACACCCTGCACAGTGCTGGGCTGGACCTCCCCATCCAGCTGGAGCCCTGAGGTCTGTGCTGCATACGCCTCACAGCTGTCAGGAGAAGGCACCAAGACCAAGCAGACAGGGTGTCTCCATGGTCTCATGGCTCCCAAAGAATAAAGGCAACAGTTTAAAAGGATTCCTCAAGCTGAAGCACCTCCTGGTGGACCCCAAAGATCTCCACCTGCTTCTTGGTGCCCATGAGACCTCTCGTTCCCAGACCTGCAGTGTGTCATGGTCATCCCTCAGTGCTGGGTGGGTTTTGCCTCTGCTGTGTAAGCATCCCTGGAGGTCCTGCAGCCGAAATCCTGTTTCCCGGGAGCCGGGAGCACCAGCAGCAGGGCTGCCAGGGTGGCTGCTGCTTGGTGGAATGGTGCACCATCCAGCTGGTGGCAAGTGGTGGGTTTTGCATCACTTAGTGGATTTTTTTTGGTGGTTTTCTTTTTTTGGTTGGTTGGTTTTCTTCCCCCCCCCTTATAAAACTGTCTCAGGGAAAGAAGGAGGAAGTGGGGGGGACATTTGGAGTTTATAGCATTTGTCTTCCCAAGTCACCATTACACATGATGGAGCCCTGCTCTGCTGGCCATGGCTGAACATCTGCCCACCAGTGGGAAGGAGGGAATGAATCCCTTATTTCACTTTGCTTGTGTGCACAGCTTTTGCTTTACCTATTAAGCTGTCTTTATTTCAACTTTCCAGTTGTCTCACTTTTGCTCTTCTGATTCTCCTCCCCACCCCAAACCCCTGGCAGGGATCACTGCTGAGCTCCCCCTGGCATGGAAGGTCCTTCCATGGCTCTACGTGGGTGAATCCCTCATCTGCTTCAGCATCCCCTGCCTGTCCCACCTGCCCAGGGACCTCTGCAGAGAAAACCCTCCTCTGCAGCACAGCTCAGACACACTGAGGTCCCGGGGAAGATGTGGCAGTCGGGCTGTGCTCACGCACAGGGCAATGTGAGAGACAAGCTGAAAGCTCCAAGCCCAAAATCCATGGCAGTTTTGCACCTAAAAGCCCCCAGAGGAGTCGTCAGCCCTTTTTGGGTCCCCTTGAAGCGCGTACTCAAATGCCCAGAGCATCCATGCAGCACCCTCCCCCCCCCCTCCATGCCCGCCCTAGTGAGACCCATAAGGTTTTGGGAGGCAGTGGGAAGAGCCCCCACCTCACCCCAGCCCCTCGGCCGGCTCCATGCCTTGACCAGCCAGCAGCAGCACAGTTGCTGGGGCTGGGAGAAGAAAGACCACCACTCTCCAGTACCAGATGAAGTAAACCTTTATTTTGTGGCTGTGATCAGCAGGCAGGTGCTGGCGGGGCCGGCAGCACCCCAGGAGCTGCTGCCTGGCTGGTCGATGTGGTGCAGGGCTCTGGGGAGTCAGTGGCATCCCTCAGCATCGGGGACCCCCGCAAGCATCTCCAGGAGGATGAGTATAAACCTTCCTTCCCACTAGGGTGTTTGGTAGCCTCAACCAGGGCACCCGTTCTACATCATGGGGCACGAAGGTCTTTCGTTTTTTGAAGCCTCTCAACTGCTTTCTTCACCCAAGTCATCTCTGGGTTTGCGCAGATCTTGGTCCCGTTCCTGGTCTCAAACCTGCCAAGATGAAAGGTGAAGCTTGGTGAGAAACGACAGCTACTTGGTGAGAAACGACAGCTATAATCCCACTTGTGTCCATGCCATCCTCCCTTCCTTGCACTCCTTCTCCTTTCCATTTGGCCCTGCACACTCCCCCTGAGTACCTGGTGTCCCACAAGCAGCTCATCCTGCAGCCCAGCACCCCTAGAGCCTGTGCAGAGCCTTCAGGAGCTGAGATGGATTTGTGTTCTTAACTGTGCTCTGTAGAAAGGGCCAGACAGTCATGTCCTCCCCTCCTCATGCTGGAAGACAGACACCCATGGAGGCCCCGCAGACCTGCCCCAGTCCTGTCCCTAGATGGGATAGATGAACTGAACCTGTGGTGGCCCAGGAAACAGCACCGCAGTGGGGAAATGACCAGGACTTACACAACTGCTGAGGAAAAACACTCCTTGGGAGTCATGTAGAAACCCTTCAGCTTAGCCAGCCGGAGAGGGAACTTTATGTAACTGAAGCAGCACTCAGATGGTGTGTAAGGGCCTGGAGAAGTAAAAGAGAGATGGTGAATGGAAAGCAGTCTTTAAGACATTCCCCCATGACAAGGTTGATGTACACATCCCCCAGGTTCTGCAGATGCTGCTATGAGGAGCCCCAGGTGTCCTCCTTCCTTCCTGGGGCAGGAGGATGCTCCAGGTTATCATCCAGCACACACAGCCCTGCAGAACCCACCTGCAGGATGGTGGAGACCCTCAGTCTCCATCCTTCCCTGCACCATGGGACGTGCAGCCCGGCCCTGACCAGGGGTTTGCTCCTCCTGCCAGCAGCACCGGCCCCGCTCCACAATGGGGTTTCTTGCCTGACCTCCCCAAGAGCACACTCCAAGCCCTGACCTGCAGTGGTGGCCCGCGAGCTGCCTTACCTGCATCATAGCGTGGGGAGATGGTGAGGAGCATCGCCAGCACCAGGACCGTCCTTGCACTGAGCATGGTGGCTGCCTTCCTTGTTGGAGCTCTTTCTCGCAGGATGCTGTTCTGCCTCCTCGGAGGAGCTCAACTGTGAGCTAAGGCAAGGAGGTGCTGCAATTTATCCTCTCCACCCCCTCCCCACATTAGCCCTTTTCTAAAGAATTTTGACCAAATTCAAGCGAAAGCCCTGTGTGTTTTCTTTGGCCAAGGGGATTTCCATGTCACGTGGGATCTTCAAGGTTACTGACCGAGATGATACCTAGAAAGGCTGAACAGACTTTGGCAACTTCTCTGTTCATCGAAACATGTCTGTGGGAAAGCCACAGCGTCCACGAGGGAAGTGAAACCCTCCTCTGCGGAGATGTAAACTTGAGGGCTCCCAAACCCATGGAGAGCAGCTTGGTGGTGATAGGAAAGGCAAAGCCCGGCTTCCTGTGCAAAGTCACTGAGAAGCTACTGGGCTGAAGAGCCCCAGAGCCAACATAAACACGCCGGAGATGGCTCGTGAACTTCCTGGGGAGCATTAGGCAGAAACGCAGTGACCGCTGCTGCCACCAACCCTCTGCGGCTCGAAAGCTGCAAGATGTCAAATACCGCCAAACGTTGCATCACATTCCATGCTGTTTCCTATGGAGAGGAACAGAAGTTTTCCACCAAAAATCCCTGTTGATAGTTGGGAAGTGTGGGGTGAAAGGAGAAGGGGTGCAGCCGAGCCCTCCCTCGAAGACAAGGCTGGTTCAGCCCCTCGGCTTCAAGGCCGGACAAGAGGCTGAATCAGGCTGAGGGAGGTGGAAGGAAAAGCTGGTGTTTGAAGTTCTTGGGTGTTTTTCCAACATCTTCCTGCCTTCACAGCCGCAAAGCCTCCCAGATCCTGCAGGGACCTGCAGAAAGGGGGTCGTCCTCTTTGTGTTAGCCTGGGGCCAGCTTCTCCCCACCGTGCTCTACTCCTCCATCCTCAACCAGCCACTCAGACCACCAGACCCTTCTGCAGGTCCTTGCAGAACCTGCTCTGAAGCTTATTTCCCTGTTCCCTCTTTTAAATTTTTTTCTCCCCCCAGGCTGTAAGTGGATGTAGGGAGCAGCAGAGTCCCATGCAGATCCCTGGGACACCACCATCCCCCCTCATCCACTGTGAGCTACCCAAGGGGCCATCACAAACCCTTCTTCACATTGGCACGCCCCAGCCACCCTCTGCCCCTTTGGAGCAGGACATTATGCCTGAGACTGTATCATCCCTTGGTGCCTTCTAAAAAACTTAGGGGAAACCCACCCAATGCTGAGGACTGCTCTGGTCATGCCCAGGTCTCCTCAACCCCAGCTGCAGTAGGAGACACATCTCCTGCTGAGCAAGGCTCAAGGAGCCCAGGTGAGGTACACCAAGGCTCTTCCCAACCTAGTAGAAATGATTAAAGTACATACTCAGCCCCCTGTAGCTGCTGTGCTTTGGTTCAGCTCCTGTGGAGAGAGGAAGTCCCTCCGTCTCCAAAGCAGGCCTTGGCCCGGGAGGGGCTGGCATGAGGTCACCCATGCTGTGTAGCCGCCGGAGGATTAAAAATAAAACATTGCTAAATAGGTCCCACACCCCATAAGGACAAGTGCTGTCCCCTCCTGCGTGTGTTCAACCCGGCGACTCAGTGTCTCCCTGGGCTGTGATAAATCCCTGCTGACACCCAAAAGCATCCTTCCTTTCTCCCACAGCTTTGCGGGTGGCCCCTTCCCCTTCTCGACCATCTCCCCATCCCTGCTTTCCCCCAGGCTACCTTCTTGCAGATTAGTGTGCCTCTCCAGGAGCCTTTCCCCAAACCTTGGCCACGGCTGCTGGCACCAGAGTAGCCTCCCATCCCATCCCATCCCATGGAGACCGTCCCAGTACAGGCAGCCTTTTGGAGACCACAGCACTCCATGAGCTGCAGCCACACCAGTAATGCCGAGCTGGGGCATGGGCCGTATTACTGCTCCTGATGCATTTTTGTCTTACCCGTAGTGTGCACAGGAGCAGGGCCACCAAGTGCAGGTGGCATGATGCTGTCACGCCCATGGCAGATGTTCTCAAGCTGGGGGAACGCAGGTTCCCCTGCAGCCATGGACCAAGGCAGCGTACAGCCTGCCCTAACCACACCAGGGGCAAAGCCACCATCCGTGGGCTTGACCCTGATCAAAGCAGAAGGATTTGGAGGATGGATAGGCATGGTCTTACTGCAAGCCCGTGGCATGTCTACCTGTGGCATGGGACTTCACCCGACCACTCCTCAGCTATGGGGGATGCTTTGGGTGAGTGGCCAGGGCAGCACAGAGTGCCGGTGGCTGAACAAGTACGGGGGCACACAGCAGCCGGGGTCAGGGAAGAGATAGCTCTGGATGAAGAAGACCTTGAGAAGTAAAGGTAGTAGTGGGGCCTGCTTCTGCAGAGTTGTGCTTGCTTATCTGGCAGAAGATCTGTCCTGGGATGCTCTGCTTTCCCTTTCTTATGTTCTCGAGCCATTGCTGTCGCAGCCAGATGCTTCACGACTCTCTGGAGACCCTTTGATGTTTATTCTTTTACTTTTTGGGAAGGGAAAGGCTGATGTGCAGTCATTAACTGATGAGTGCTGGAAAGCCCCACTGCTGGCCCACGTTCCCTTTTCATTTGAACGGGCTCTGGAGAATTTGCTTGTTTACATAAAAAATAAAGAGCATCTTCTTGATGTTGCAAGAGGAGGAGGGAGACTTGGGTGGCCCCTCAGGTGCCAGCAATGGTGCCAGTGTGGGGAGGGAGGAGCTGGGCAGAACAAGCCCCACACTTGGAAATGGGGTCTCAGCAAATAACCGAGAACACTCAGCTGTTCTGGAAGACATGGCCACATGGTCATTGTGCTGCTTGGGACAGCACAGGCTCTGCGCTGCAAAAGCAGTCGGGCTGCCAAGGCAGGAGAGAGATGGCTGAGCATCACCTGGGCATGACTGAGTGCTTGAAACCCATCCCCAAGGAGGTTTTGGGAGGGTTAGGAATAAGCTTTTCCTTATTATCTTTTGTTCCACCCAGTCACTTTGAGTCTTCTCCATTTACAATATGAAACATTATAATTTTTCTTCTTTCAAACCTCAGTTTCCTGCGTGTAAAGCCCCTCCTCGTTTCTTTGGGGTGCTCACTCAAGGGTCTCCCCAGCTCCATACTGAAGCTCCGGTTGACTCAGGCCACAATCCCAAACCAAAGGCGATGCTCTTGCTCCTTCCCGGAGTCAGTGCTCACCCTGTGACTCCACGTACGACCATGCCAGATCCTACAGCCTTTAAAAAGAAGCAAACAAGAGTCTCTTCCAAAGCCTGCTTCCTACAGCTGGACACTGGGGACCACCAAGTACTGGAAGCTGGTGATCCGAGCCTCATCCTGTGCGGTAAGTCCAGCCCAACATCACAACACAGGGAGGCCACAGGAAGGATGTGTCCAAGAGTCCTTCTCCAGGGGATTATCTGCACTGAGCCACCAGACAAGCTCACCCACTGGCGCAGGGGATAGAGCAGAGGCTCACTGCGGCCAGGCAGGGAACCCTCACAACGATGGCCAAGCAGAGAGGCAGGGGTGGACGCGCCTGGACCAGAAACTGGAAGCTTCGTTAAAGAAGGGGTGAAAAAAAGTATGTAATGCCAATTTTCTCAAATGCACTGAAAAGGAGATGTTCTTCCATTTTTCTCCAGTGAGGTTGATCAGCTGCCTCAAGGTCAAGTGAGGGATGGATGTGGGGTGTCAGGAGGAGCTGCTGCTCCCGAGGGACACTCGGCACTGGAGAGGATTCTGTGCCAGGTAGCAGTCAGGAGGAACGATGCCTGGTGAGGACTTCAGCCTCCTTTTTTCAAACCCTGACCTTTCTTGAGCTACCAGAGTTTAAGAGAGCCGTGGAGAGCTGCTTCAGCTCAGCTTTTAAAGCAAAGCTGTTAAAGAAAAAGAATAGGACATGGAGACAATTTCAGCCTAATTTTCAGGGATTTAATTCTGAACAGAATTAGTCCCGATAACTCCAAGGAGGCAGTAGAACAAGTTATGAATTTACTTGTTCCTTAGTTTTTGCTTAGGATAAAAACTAGCAATCAGAAAAATAAATTCATCAGAAAGACTGTGATGAGAAAGATACATTAAAGTCCATAGGTATTGTAACAAAACAGTATTTGTGCTGACTACGGGCTAGGCTGGCAAGCTGCCATCACAGCCCTCCTTGGAGGCCTCATCTCACTTCTTTCCATAATACATTTTTTTTTTTTTAATTACTTGCTTTGTGACCTTGTAGCTCACCTGGCAGAATTCAAGCGTGCTTCAGAAATGAAGCTTCCTCCGTCACCCAGGATGGTCACTGAAGAGGTATGACGCTGGAGAGTGTCTACCCAAGGGGGAACTTCAGCTACGAGAGCAGCCCTCGCAGTGACGTGAATGGGGACATAAACCTCATAAAAGTGGAGATGAAGCAAATGCAAAGTGCGGAAGAACCACAGCCACCCAGCAGAACCGCGGCTGTGTAGCTGGAGAGCCAAAGCAGCTGAGGGGTCATCCTGCATTCCGCTAAGCCAGCATTATGGAAGCGGTGGTATGTAAGCTTGACCAGAGGCTGCCCTAAGGCATGAGCGCGCTTACACAACATTTCACAGAAAAACCCACACACAGAGCAGGGATGGACATTTCATAAGTCACAATCCAAGTTTCAAACCAGAGAGGATGGAGACTGCAGGGTCTCTGCTTCCCAGCAATAATCATGCCCCTCACACACCACCCTGGTGAGAAGCCAGGGCTTGGAGAAGACAGTGGCAGAGGTGTCTCACTGCCAGGTCCAGATGATAGGGAGCAGTGAGAAGGGACAAGTCAGGAGCCAAGGCTGACCCCAGCACAGGCAGTGTCCTCACCAGTGAGGTGAGGTCCCACAGGGTCTGAAAATGGGAGACAGAGCTAGGTGCTGCTAACAGAGTCAATCAGCTGTCCCAGACGCACCAAAGTGAGGAACCAGATCCAAGATCCATTAGTGAGGGTTAGGGGGCATCCATTCAGCAGCAGGAGGAGGAGATGGGGACAGAGAGAGGGCTATAACATCAAAGGGTCCGTCCAGCCAAGAGACAAGACACTAACAGCATAGGTCCAAGGTCTACCCAAGAGACAGAGCCAGAGACAGGACATCAGACCAGCACTCTTACAACACATTCAAAGCAGAGACTAAAGGCTCAAGCCTGAGCTTAAATGGGGTCTGGGCCTTGGGCAGAGGGTGGGGGAGCATGTGTGGGTGAATCCATCCACAGGTGAGACTGGTCAGGGTGATTAAGGCCAATTAGTTCCCCCAAGGCCTGCCACCATGCCATCTGATGGATCTTTGGGGATGTGAAGGCATGGAAGTGAGCCTGTGTGGAGTCCCAGTGGCTCCTTATTCTCATAAGGACAATCAAAACAGCTGACTAACTAAGTGGTGGAGAGGGTTTTGCACTGATGTGAGCTGGAAACCAAAGATGTGGGTCAGTAAGGGACCAGAAGGGGCACACCATGACCATGGGCCCCCTGTCTCCTGTGGGCTGTGGGGAAAACTCAAGGCAGAAGCAAACTAGGTGAAGAAGGCAGGGCTTGTCCCACCTGAGCATGACAGACTTGGCATTACTTATCTCCTGGGCCAAATTCTACACCTGAGGCAGCCCATGGAACATCCAGGAGGAGCACAGGAAGATGCACAGTTGGACATCCTTCACACAAGCTCTTGCCCTGCACTGTCAGATATAGAGAACCCAGGGAGCAGCAAGAAAGCTGACAAGCGTGTGACACCAGCTGGCCGAGGGACCGGGCACCCAAAAGCTCCCTTGGTGCTCTGGAGCCGCAGCCCCCGAGAGGCCCTATGCTGACGCCTGGGCTGGCTCTGTGTCACGGAAATGATTCATGGCTCTCAGGGCTGATTTGTTTACACAGCTTCCCCCCGCCCCCCTCCCCCCATAACAGAGAGGAGGAAAAAAAAAAAGTGCATTTCTTTCCGCAGAGCTTTTTATTCCCCCAAATGTCCTTTCTAGCCTGGTGATTCATCTGGGGGAAGTTTTCATGGACTTTGGCATCTTCCCAGCCCACCGGAGCACAGGGCTTGGGGCATGGCTGGGACGAGGGCTCTTGGGATGCAGGGGAGACTCTGGTCCCAACCCTCCTGCTCCTTCCAGCCACTTCCGCTCCAGGCAAGTCCCCGGGGAACTGATTCGGATTGCGTTGCCTTTCCCACCTCTCCTCCTCAATGCTGGAGAGGAGCACACAAGGGCAGCCCAAGCCCTGGCGGGGCTGTGAGAAATCCCAGCTCAGCCCATGGCCTCTCGCCCCCTTCCAGACTAGACCTGGTTGTTGTTTGGTCGTAGCTTTGCTTAAACAAAGCAAAAACCCAGCTCTTTTTTTTTCAGTATTGCCTTAGCAGGCAGGGAAATGCGACTCCCTGTGAGAAAGTATATTCCCTGTAAATTTTTGGCAGGACCGAAGCCCATAAACAGTGAAGAGGTGGAACAATAGCCCGGCCGCATCAGCTGCACCGGCTCTGCTGTCCCTCGGCGATGCTGGGATTCCCCCACAGTGCTTAATCACAGATGGGCATCTGCGCACCTCTGCAGGACCAGGCTTGGTCACCCAGCCCTGGGCTGAATCCCCTGAGGACAAGAGCTTTTTTACATAAGGACTTTATTAGTTTTACTTCTGAAAAAAAGTACAGAACATACATCTCGCGCACGCACACTCATATATACTCGCTACACAATCGAATCAGAGCTTGTAGTCATCACTGCACCCTACAGCAAATGCACATATTAAGCCCCAGGAAGCCGTGACACCCACAGGCTCCGTCTGTCCGCACCGGCATTCACCCTGTGCCCTCCCGGACTGCCCATCGCACAGCCAAACGCAAGGAGGAGCTGTGGTGTCCCCCCCAGTGCCCTGGGTTCCACCTGCCCCCCGGGAGGGGTGCCAGTGCCCGGCCTGCTGACAGCCTGGGAAGAGGAGAGGGCAGCAAGGTGAGGACAAGGAGGGATCCAGGCTGGAGGAGCAGCTCCTCCTGATGAGTGCTGGAGTGGCAGCTGGAAGATGGTGGCAGCCGGCTGTGGAGCTGAAACCGGTGTCCTTATGAATACTGTGGTGGGACTGGAAGTGATCAGAGCTGTCCGGTGCACATTCATCTTCCCAGCATCGCCCCAAGCCGAGGACTTCACCTGTAGCCAGAGAAGCGTCCATCCCACGTGCCATAGTGCCCGGAGAGCGACCCAGCTCCCATGGACATGCACCAGCCACCCAAGACCAGCAAGAAAATGGACAAGGCACAGCGTTTGCCAATGTTCCCAGAAAGTTCTCGACTCTGCAATACTCTGGTAGCAAGGACAGGACACTACATACATTCAAATGGCTACAAAACTTTACTACAAAAATAAAATCTCTAGTGTTTCATACAAAAATAACGCCATGGTACACCACCTCATGAACTGCGAGGCTGTGGGGCCCAGCCAGCAGGGCAGACGGGGAGCTGACGCCAACAGCCCCCGATTTACCCTGCAGGTAAATCCACCCCAGCCAGCGTCACGCAGCGGGGCTGCGCGGCAGTGCTGCTGCACAAGCAAGGGTTTCACCCCAAATCCCTAATTGCAATTAATCTGATTGCTTTCTGTACTCGCAAAGCCCAAAATGAATCCCTGGCTCCCCTCTCTCAAGTCAACAAACTGCAGAAATAAGGGATTGAATGATGGCAGAGAACAAAAAAGCGTTGCAGTCTGTCCCCCCATCCGGGCCTGGATGGATGCCCCGAAGGTGCGATCTGCTGGATCCAATAGGTCACCTTCCTCTCACTCTGCTTTACAGCCAGCCCATCATTCTTGCTTTGATTATCTTGCTTATTGTGTGGTTTTGCTTTCTTTTATCTACATGCATATTTATACTTCGGGATGTGATCCATTGAGGTTGGTCAGAGGAGGATCGGACCCTTGACAGGTTATCTCTACCTATAAAGCATCATATCGTGAAGACCTTTGCATGCTCCAGCAAAATTTGTACTGCAGTCACTGTTTAATAAGGGCTGTCAGGAGCTGACCACAGATAAAAGGTAAGGCTTACATACAGCAATGTCTAGATGCATAAAAATCAAAACCAATTTAGGTTAAAAAAGAAAAAAAAGCCTGGTACTGTTCCAGTGCTTTAACAGCCTGGTGATCGGTGCTATTCCAAAAAAGAAAAACTAAAATGCGGCTGAACTATAGGACCATTTTAGGCATTTTTTTTTTGGTGGATCAGCAAATGTGCTTATTTCTGGAGAGAATACGGGACCAGAAGGATGGTACGTCTGCTGTGGTGGCGTAATTCCTGTATGACTAAATCCAGAATTGCACTTAGTTCCTCCAAGAGAGCGTTTCCTGGGGTTTGTGCTTGCAGAGAACAGCAAAGCCCCTCCAATGTGATCACAGGAATAGCAAAATTAGTGGGTGACTTCTTGTTTTCTCCCATTCACAAAGGCTCATCCCCATTATCCTGCCCTGGTGGTGGGTGCAGCTGGACACAGGGCACAGCAGCTGGTGGAAGGGTTTTATTGCAGTTGATTTGCCAAGAGCCAGGTCTCAGACTGAATCTGCGAGAAGAAATGCCCATAGCTGTTGGAGACAAAGGTGGCCTGATTTCAAGGAGGAGATTGAATGTGGGTTGCCAGTTCCTCTCAACATGAAATCTGTAGCGCTGGCCTTCAGTCCCCTAATCAGATGCAGTGTTTGTCACCTCTGTCTGACTAACCCTCGTGTCTCCAGTAAGAATAAGCGGGGGTTTTGACCAGCCCAAGCAGAGCCAGCACCCAGATGACCACCAGCATTGGTCTTGGTCTGACAGAGCAGGGACCTGAAGTGCAAATAAAGAAGCAGCAGAAAGTTTCTTAAGTGCAAATTGCGTGATTTTGGTGTTAAGATCACTCAGGGTGGCTGAGGCCAAGTCCAGCAGTGTGGGTGAGTGGGTGGCTTCTTGGCTGGGCCATGGTGAAACGCAGAAAAATTCTCAAGAGCAATTTGGAAATTCACTTCTGCCCACCCACCTGGCAAAGAGCCACCAGGCAGCTCTAGAACAGCAACAGCCTTTGTAAATAACAGTGACAGAAGAAAAAAAAGCACCTCATTTATTTCCAAAATATCATCACTAGTCAATGAAAAATCAGATATATTTTTCAACATTCTACCCTGAAAAAAAAATAAATCCGTTTTCTCTGGTATATTTCTTCCTTGCCTTGCTTCCTATTGGTCACCAGTTCAGCATAAACTTAGCTTTCCTGCAGCAACACACATATAGTTGTGGCCAAAAATGTCCACCCCATAAAATGTTCAGATTACTTCCATTCGATAGACATTGTTTTGATGTCCCTCCTTGTGGTAGAGCAAGCCCTGTACCATTTCTCTTGACACCTCTTCTGTTTTGACTCCAAATTTTAGATATAGCCATACAAAAGCAACACTGCAAACCATCAGACCACCCACCACAGAAACTGGGATGACAAAGTGCATCTGAGATCTTGACAAGAAGCTGGGAAGGGGCAGATCTTTCGGTCTTTCTGTAGTCATCTGCACTCTGGCTTGGCCTGAGAATGCTTGGCTAGTAAAAACTAACGTATCTGAAGGCTCTTGCTTTCCAACAGGCAATGAATAATCAAATGTTCCAGTACTGAAAGCGTCTACAAAGGAACTGACAACCTCGTTGGTATGGACAGAAGGACCTTTGTCTACAGCAGTTGTGGAGTTTAGAGTAGAACCTGAAGTAGTCTCTGGTGGAACTGGTATGGATGGGGCTGTGGCAATCTCCATGCTGTCCAGGATGGAGGGGAGGTCTGAACTAAAACTGCTAGAAGCAGTGTCTGGTGCGTTGGCTCTTGCACTTTTAGGGTCCAGGGATTCATCTGTAGAACATACAGGATAGTCTGATCCTTTAGTAATGGCCACAGGGTCTGAATTTGAGCTAGGAGAAGTTGTGTCTCCAGCATCAGCCATAGCTTTTGCAGCATGTCCTACAGGTTCTTCTGTAGATCCTACAGCATTGTCAAAGCCATGCACAACAGCTGTGGAATATGGGGTGGGCTGGCTGGAGACCATGCCTGCTGCAAAAACTGTTGAAGGTGAAGGAAATTTTAAGGAATCTCTGTTTGCTTCTGGAGTCACTTCAGAGAAGGCAACAGCTTCCCGTGTCACGGGGGATGATCCTGCAGGGAGCTGGGTGGTGTCCTGCATGGCTGGTGGGGATTTACTGGAGGCCTCTGTCCCGGCAGCAGGAACATGTATTGTCTCCAAAACTCTTGTGCCAGTCCCTTGGAAGTAACTAGATGGAGCAGTGGCTTGAGATGAAGCTGCTACTGTGAGACCAACATGCTTCTGAAAACCACCAGGCTCTTCTGGTGCTGCTGCTGAGGTGGCAGCACGTGGCAGTGGTGAGGCCATGGCTTTTTTCTGGTCCAGTTTCTCTACAATCTTCTTCACCCACTCTGCCTCTGGATCTGCACAAATCTCCAGGGACTTCAGAGTAATAAATCTGAAAACAAAAAGGCATCACTTACTGCATGAATAAACACAGTTTTAGATGACCAGCGTGATAGGGAAGGCATGCAGGCAGCAACACTGACTCTCTCAAGCCCACAGTAAACAGGATTATTTATTTCAGGAAGGACAGGTGCTTCTGAGATCTGACTGAACAAGGAGCAGCTGGATGTGACTCATGGGTGAAGGGTTTCCCCCTGAGAAGTTTTTCGGAAACACTGCCCTGATGTTTGGACGCAGGGTTTGCCTCCAGCGCTCAGAGCAGGAAGCTCCGCAGGCACCGGCTGCCCAGGGGCAAGCATACGCGAAGACAAAACCCTCTGATTTACTGAGTGAGATTAAACTTTCCAAGGTCAGCCCAGCAGGTTCACTTTGGAGCAACCTCTTGGGCTGCAATAAAGCGGTCTCAATGGTGCCTCGTCTCCAGGGTAAGTTGAAAAGAACAATTATCCTAGGGAAAAAAATGTAGCTTTTCTCATGTCCAGACAAGCTCACAAGCCTGAATCTGTCTCCAGAGAAAATACCTGCCTTCACAGAAACACGTGAGCTCCTGCTCCGCGTGCTTCCACTGCCCTGTTCTGCCAACAACTACACCCATCAGTCCCTTTCCCCATCCATTTATCGCTGCCTCACGCTGTGCGTGGGGCCCCCATCTCACTCAGAGGCTGTCAGTCTTTAAATAAGGAAAAAAAAACACCAACCCTTCAAATAAATAACAGCATTTCCTCTGTTTCCAGAGAGCTCCTTGCTCCAACGCAAGGGCCTTTGCCGGCAGGCTGATGCCTGACGGGTGCCGGGGGGCAGCGGGGGGGACAGTGCTTACATGACGGCTTGTTTGGTGCAGCGGGGTTCCGTCCGGCGGTAGCTTCTTATCCGCTTTGCCGCTATCCCAGATGTAAAATGGCCGCACTCTGTTGAACACTTCAGAGGTGCTTTGGGTTGCCCTGAAATAAAGTTTTCATATTCAACATATTAACACATATTCATACATATTAAACATAACAATAACATTAACATAACATTAGCATAAACATATTAAACATAACGTTAACACATATTAAACATTAACACATATTCAAAATATTAAACGTTGGCTTTTTATTAGGTACTATAGAAACCGGCACTGTTTCTTTTTCCCCGTCGCTGGGGAGGAGGAGTCCAAAGCTTGCCATGAAAGTTTCCAATCCCTGCTAAAATGAGATTAGGAGAAATCCCGTCAGGGCCACGATTGTTTTTATCACCCAAAGAGGTGATAAGACACCCAGAAAACTGGAGGAAAAAAAAAAAAAAAAAAAAAAAGCCCTGGGAAAATTGCGTGGCTCTTGAGACACCGTTGCAGCTTGCCTTATAGGATGTGCAAGCACTCGCTGGGGGCCCTTTGTGCAAGCACCTGGACCTGCAGGTCCTCTCCCCTTTGGGTCACAGGAGGACTGCTCTCAGCACACTGCCCAGAAGACACATGTCCTGCCCTGGTTTGAGGTAAAACAGAACCAATTTTGGTCAGTAACTTCACTTCTTAGCTGGGCCTCTCTAACAACTGAAATTAACAGCATATTGTGCAGGCAATGTTCACTCTCTCAGGGTGATCAGACCTATGTTTATAGCTGATGCCCAGGCACGGTATGCAGAGAGGACCTTGCTTATACTTATCGCTATAACAATGAAGGCCAACCAACTTTGTTATTTGCCCTGTTGGAGGGTCGGAAGCGGAAAAGCATAGTGGGGTCCCACCTGCGGGGAGGAGCGGACGGCACAGGTGACCCCAAACTGACCAACGAGGGTATTCCATCCCATCTGCCTCATGCTCAGTATAAAGGCTGAGGGATCAAAGGGTCAGCTCTCTCTCTTCCTGCAATGGCCGATGTCTGAGGAGGACTCTGTTCGTCTATCTCGGGAGCTTGATACGGTTTTGTATATATTTCATTATTTCTTTTTTTATTTTATTATTAATATTTCATTAAAGTAGTTTAGTTCCTTCTAAACTCGTAAGTCTCTTTTTCCTCCTCTGCCCCTCTCTCTGAAGAGGGGTAGAGGAGAGCATCTGTCAGTCCCATCTGGGGTCCCCCAGGTCCCCAGTAGCCGATTTGGCCTAAACCACGACAGTCCTCATCCCCAAAAGACCTGCCGCAACTGCTCTTGTTGCAGGCAGTGCAGATGAGGGGGCAGGACGCTCGTCCTCTCCTTATCTGGATCTGTCACAGCTCTTCCTCCTGTGGCAGGTCCCCACCGGGCGAGCATCCTGCCTCTGTCTGCTGGTATGAATGCCATATAGACTCAGAGAAAGGGTGCAGAGAAGGAACCTTTTGGTGAATGACACATTGCTCCTGTAGCGATATCAGCAGCCCAGCTTCACAGCCCTGTTTCTCACCAAAAATCCCTTTTCCGTCTCCACCAGAAAATATGATTGTTTTTTTGCAAAGTGTAAAAATAAACCCCCTACTTGACCCCTCCAAGGGGCAAAGCCAGTCACGCCGCTGGGGAGCCCTCATCCCTGCACCTACCCCCCGCCTCCAGCCACAGGCGTTTGCCAAGCGAGGGGAGGTTGCACAACGCAATTTGTTCCCAACATCCCAGGGGGCAAGACTTAGAACAACAAGCCCTGATTCATCCGAGGCCCCCTGTGAAGGAAGGAGACGGAGTCTGGTTTAGATCAAGCAGCTTCTACAAAACGTTGTCCCAGATTCCCAAATGAATTTGGTGAATTTGACGCAGTTCCATTGGGAATGATCCAGCCACCAGGTGCAAGAGTGGGGGCTGCTACATGACCACCCTCAGCTCTTTTGATTCATTTAGCGGGGAAACCCACGGTCGCAAAGAAATCCCACGCAAACACTCCTGTGGCTCCTCTGTAGAAGCACATTTCAGGTCTCTCTCGTGTTAAAGCATAGCGCGTCGTTCGCACAACAATGTCCTCTGTGGCACTTTAGGGCTGAGAATACGCACTCAGGAGCAATCGACTTCCCAATTAAGTCTTATTAGTCTTACAACTGGTAACTGATCTTCCAACTATTGGCACCACAAATAAATGGTTTGCAATTAGCTGAATTCCTGGTGTCTTCTTCCCAGAGTGGAGGAGCTTGGAAAGCACTTCCAAGGAGAGAGTGGTGTGACAGGGACACTGTCCCCCTCCTCCTGGAGCACGCAACCCCACTTCTCTGAGCTGCATCTGAATCTTTGCCAAAGGGACCTCAAGGACACCCACGGCCTGGGAGTTTATCTATCTGGGATCACAGCTCTTTGGAGGTACCGCTCCTGGGAGCCATCAGTACCTGCTTTTCAGCATGGTTCCTTAAGTGACCCTGCCCAGGGATCACCACCAGCTTTTCCCTCTGCAGAGCCAGCCTGATTTCATCTCTTTAAAGCAGTTGGATGCTAGGCCACAGGTGAGCAGAGCCAGGCAGTGCCGAAGCAGGCGGGTTCCTGGGGCAGGGTAAGCTGCCCGGCATCCATGTTGCCCACTTTACTCAGGGCAGCCCTGGAGAACCTGCCTGGAGGTGTGAGGAGAGGAAGAAGCTCCATCTCCAGCTGTGCTCCACTCCTGGGAGGCAGGAGGTCCTCTGGCGGGAGCAGGGCAGAGATCATAAAATGGTTTGGGTTGGAAGGGACCTCAAAGAGGTTCCACCCCCCTGCCCTGGGCAGGGACACCTCCCACCAGCCCGGGTTACTCCAAGCCCTGTCCAACCTGGCCTTGAACACCTCCAGGGATGGGGCAGCCACAGCTTCTCATCTTAAAGCCTCTTTGACCCTCTCCCTTCCCACTGTGGGAATAGATCATCCCTTTGTCCCGGGCGAAGTCCAGCTTGACTGGCAACCCACCCTGATTAATTGCTGCCTTGGGCGGCAATCACCAATCCGTGCCACAGCCGGCTTCAACCAAGACCAGCCCAGGGAGAGGTACACCCACCTCCTCCTGCTCCCCCAGCCCCGCTCAACACCACCCTGCGGCACGCAAACAGCTTTGTCCGGTGAACAGGAAAGTGTTTCCCACCTGTGCGCACACACTGCACACACACACACACACACTGCACACACACACACTGCACCGGCACTGGAGCTGCAGGCGACAGCACCCCTCGCCTAGCAGTGATGGGAGCACCGGCATCCTCAGGACAGGGAGCCTGTGCGGACAGACATCCATCCTTGGGCAGGCTGCGGTCTGCCCCTATGGCATGTCCATAGCAGACAGGAAAAAAGGGGAAAAGCGCATTCTTTTCTGATACGGATCATCAGAAAGTCTCTCCCCCTTTCCCCATGAACTCTCGGGAGCGGCAAAAGCCGTCACAGGGCTGCTCAGGCTGCCAGGACTGCCGCCATGGGCTCCCCCCGCCTATTCCCAAGCCCAGCCTGATCCTGCTACGACATCTCCCACAGCCCTCACAGGTCCCTTGGTGCCCGTAGCCCGCTCCAGCACCGCTGTTCCCCCCCCAGCATGCTTCACCAGCCCCCCTGGCGTGAACCTGGCTGCTCCCCCAGGGGGGTGACGAGCGGAGCTGTGGCTCACCTCCGGCCAGGGTCGCCAGGAACAAGACCCTCAGCACAAACAGGACCTGGAGAGAAACAGCCTTCATGTTCCCGTGGCCGGCAGCCGGAAGGGCACGCAGGGAAGGATAACTACGGGCAGTATTTCCCGCTCCCGACTGCTTATTGCATCCTCTGGAGCAACACAGCCGCTGCAGCTCATCCCAGGATTATGGAGCCCCGAGACGGGGTTTCAGCTGTTATTCAGCTCCCCCCGCATGCGTCTCAGGGTGACGACAGGAGGAGGAGGAGGGAAAAGCGGGACAGGGGAGGGAATACTGCCTGCTCCAGAGCTAGACAGCTCCTGGAATTCCCCAGCTGCACTTACATCAGCTTTTCTTAGGGCACGCAGGGCAGCTCTAGCCTCCTTGGCAAATTTTTCAGGCAGGGACTTTCAGGAGTCAGCTGCTCCATCCTCCTCTCCCACCGTGTCTCTTGGCCAGCCAGCCCGTGCCAGAGCACCACTGTCCTTAGGCTTGTGAAGCTCTCCCCACCTCCGACTCCCAGCTCATTATTTACCCCGAATGCAAAAGCAGCTACTCCCTTCCTTTTTTTTGGCAGCCATCTCACAGCAGCACTGCTGGTCATTAGGCCAAAAGAGGTGGCATTTGCTAATCAGGATCACAAGTTCATCAGCCTGATTGGCGAGCTCAGGCCAGGCTGCTCCTTAGGAGCATCACTGAAGGAGGGACCTGGTGGAGTCCCCAGGCAGCCCCGTGTTCCCCTGGACATGCTGTCTGCGGCGCCTGCTTGTCACGACAGCCCTGACTTTGGGTATAGGGCAGAGTCTCAGCCATGGGGGTCTCGCTGGGTCTCAGCCACTGGGGCCCCAGAGTTTTCTTAGGACAGGAGTATGAGGTCGCCAGCTCTGCGAGCGACCAGGCTGGCTCGGGGCAGAGGGGGGTTCTTCCCGGCACCAGCACAAAGCCAGGTCTGAAGCGGATATACCAACCCAACGGTCACATCCTGCACCTTTACTTTCTCTTTCATCTCAGCTCCCAGCAGAATACATAACAATTTTCCCCTGCCCACTCCCTCAACTGAAAGATGAAGATAAGAACAAGACTGAGACAGTGTGGCTGCCCCTGAAATCTTTTTTTCCCCAGAGTTTTCTTAGGACTGATGGAAACCTGGCTTCTCTGTGCTGTGGGAAATTCCACCAGTTCCAGTTGGGATTATCTTCCTAAAGAGTGAAAATCCCCAGGTTTCCATATGATGCTGTTTAAAAACATTTGGTGAAACTCCCAGCCTGTAACTTCAGCCTTTGCTTATATTGGAGCAGAAGATAAAACCCATTTCAAGGAAATAAAATAAAATAAAAATTAAGACCTTGAAATAGTCTGTTTGATCCAGCCAGAACAGAACACGCTGCGTCTGTTGGGATGTTTGCTGGCCCCTTCCCCTAAAGGGTGTTTTCTCAGGCTGGGCAGAGCCTTACAGGAAACTTTTATTCCAGGAACCGGCATTGCCCGAGGCGTGAGCACCTTGGGTGCTGAAAAGTCATGGCACAGCCCACACCGTGCTCACATCCCCCCTGAAGAAACAGGTTCTGCAAAAGATTGCTGCCAGCGATGGATAATGCTTCGGAAGGGCTGCAGCCTGCACACAAAGTGGGAGGGTGAGTGCTTTGTTTGCTAAAGGCATGACTTGCCACAGGCATTGTTATTTTAAGGCACAGACTGCTCTTTGGCAGGGGAATGCAGCTGCCTTTCCCACAAAGACTGGGCTGGTGGTGTTTTACCTGGTAGGGGACACCTCCAGGACACTCTCGGAGACGTCCCTTTGCTCCCAGTGAGCTCAGCTGGGTTTGGAGGTGGCATCGGCACAAGGAAATCCCGCAGCAGGAGGGTGGAGGGCAGCCGCAGCCCCAGCACAGCTCCGTGGGACACGGCACACCTTCAAGTGCCGGCAGCAGCATGGGTCTAAGCCACCAGCAAGCCCTGCAGTTCCCACCAAAAGTGGGACACACAGGCACAGCAATCGGCTCCGACAGGAGCGGGCAGCTCCGATGAGCTGTGACAAACCTGGGCTGCCACCGGCAGAAAATGGGCAATGTCGCTCCCAACCTGTTGTCCCAAAGCCTCCCCGTCCCATTGCACATTTGTCCCTCCAGCACACCAGCACCAGCCACTTATTCTACTTCTTTCAGGTCTTGCATCATTGAAAAACCCAAAGTCAGAGGACCTGCTGTAGCCCAGGAGATATTTCTGCTGTAACTAGCAATAAACCATAGGTGATATATTCACAGAATCATAGAACTTATGTTCTATGTTGCTGGAAGGATGTGACATTCATGGTGGTCTTTCTTCCTCCTCAGTCTTGGTCTGCTTTAGTTGTCAAACTTTAGTTGTAAGGGACCTTTAAGATCATAGAGTCCAACCATCAACCTAACACTGCCAAGTCCACCACTAACCCATGTCCCTCAGCACCACATCTGCCCATCTGTTAAATCCCTCCGCGGATGGCGACTCCACCACTGCCCTGGGCAGCCTGTGCCAGTGCTTGACAACCCTTTCCATGAAGAAATTTTCCCTAATACCCATCCTAAACCTCCCCTGGCGCAACTTGAGGCCGTTTCCTCTTGTCCCATCGCCTGTTCCTTGGGAGCAGAGCCCGACCCCCCCTCGCTGCACCCTCCTGTCAGGGAGCTGTAGAGAGCGAGAAGGTCTCCCCTCAGCCTCCTCTTCTCCAGGCTGAACACCCCCAGGTCCCTCAGCCACTCCTCACCAGACGTGTGCTCCAGACCCCTCACCAGCTCTGTTGCCCTTCTCTGGACACGCTCCAACACCTCAATGTCTTTTTTGTAGTGAGGGGCCCAAAACTGAACACAGCACTTGAGGTGGGGCCTCACCAGTGCCAAGTACAGGGGGATGATCACTGCCCCAGTCCTGCTGGCCACACTATGGCTGATACAGGCCAGGACGCTGTTGGCCTTCTTGCCCACCTACACTGCTGGCTCACATTCAGCTGGCTCCAACCAACACCCCCAGGTCCTTCTCCACCAGGCAGCTTTCCAGCCACTCTGCCTGGTCTTCTTGAATCTCACACCACTGCCCTCGGCCCATGGATCCAGCCTGTCCAGATCCCTCTGTAGAGCCATCCTACCCTCAAGCAGATCAACACTCCCACCCAACTTGGTGTTGTTTGCAAACTTACTGAGGGCGCACTTGATTCCCTCATCCAGATCCTTGATAAAGATACTAAACAGAACCAGCCCCAACACTGAGCCCTGGGGAGCACCACTTGTGACTGGCCACCAACTGGATTTCACTCCATTCACTACCAGTCTTTGGGATTGGCCATCCAGCCAGTTTTTTACCCAGCGAAGCGTACACTTCGTATTGATCTGACAGTGAAAGATCTTGGGACTTCTCTGGGCTCATCTTGGCTTCAGCTGATTTTAGCTTCTTTAGTTATGATAGAAATTGTCTAGGCAATGACTGTTGTATTAATTTGATTTAGTTTTGCTTTAATTTCTAGGAATAGCAAGTAGTTATTCAGCATGGGTCTGGGACTGTAAATTCGATTGTGATATGGATGAGGGCCGGCAGAGGAGGACACCAGCAATCCCAGTCCACTAACATGAATCACAGTGCCCAAGCAATGGAGCATGTGACCCTGCGAGTTAGGAACAACAAGCTTTCAAGGAAACAAAGAGCAGAAAAACTGAGTAACTGGGAACCAGGGAACACCGACTGTTCTAAGAAAATGTATGAAAATGAAACCAAGCAGACCAAGACTGAGGAGGAAGAAAGACCACCATGAATGTCACATCCTTCTAGCAAATATGGTGGGCTGGGGTAGCTCATCCCAGTCCTTCCCCATTCTTCCTTAGCAGGACTGGAAGGAGGCTTCCTGAGGTTACTCTTAGCACCCAAAGGCTCTCTGACAAGAGAAGAGAAGCAGAAGCTACTTAGGAAGAGAGCTGGGGTGCTTCCCCCATATAACTTTAACTGTAGTATGAATGAGGAAGGCCCTTAGGCTGATCTGGAACATGGACCAGGAAAAAACATGAACAAATGTAGGTCTGAGCACCTGCTCTCGAGTGCGGACAGAGGGACCATGCACAGGGCACTATGCACCGTTGGGGCTGGGACTGTAACCTCTGGGGTCTCTAACGCAGCTCCAGGTTTGATCCTCAGCACCCGCAAAAGGACTCTGTGGCTCATGCCAGACAGTTTGGTGTCAAGGTTGGAGTCTGGGCTATCTGGCTCCAGTTCCTGCTCTGCTCTAAGGACAGTTTGCTATCAAGGTGGATGTCCTGCTACTTAACCGGTGGCTGTGCTGCAGAGAAAGGGAGAACAAGGTCTGGTGTGGACTGGATGTTGGTGACAGCACAAGGCATGCTCAGAAGCCTGATGTGATGCCATATCCCTAACCTTTGGTTGCTCACTGGCAACCATTAGCCAGGAGCTCGGTTTATTGCTCCAAACCACAGATACCATGGGCCAAAGGGCCAGATGCCATCTTCCCCATGAGAGACATGCAAGCAGCTCCAGCCTTTCCCACCCACTGCAGCCTTGCCAGGGCTGTTCCCAGGCAGGTGCTTGAGCTGTGCACAGGGTCAAGGTCTGTGCTGGTGGAAGGAACATATGACTAATGCCAGGAGTATTGCTCTTAAAGGCTAAAAGCAACTTGACCCTGCAAAGGCAGTATGCACAAAAATATATGCAGAAGGAACAAGGGCTGTGTCCTCAACAAACAGGAAATGGCTCCAGAACATGGCACGTCTCCTACAGGGTATTTCCAAGTTGGAAATTTATGTTCCTTGGCTATTCTTGGTTCCTCGTGCAAGAAGGACTCTGTGCTGTTTGTCTTCCTGAAAACCAGGTGATAACTGGAGAAAAAGGAAAGGAGAAAAAGTCAGTGAGACCCAGAAGGCTGTATGCGATTTGGAAGAAAGAGATACCAGAGCTGATCAGATGAGAATGCTGATGATTTCCACTGCATGGTCTGGTCAGGAGCTTCCAAGACCACAGGAGTTGGTCTTCCTGGAGCAGGGAAGCCCAGCACTGCTGGTAGAAGGTATTGACAGCATCCTTTGCTGTCC